AGTTTACCTCAACAAGTACTGGTACTCCACAGAGCCGCTATGGCAATGTATATTACCACTGCAAGCTTGATTGTGTGTGGCTACGCAATCCTTCATTTGTTCCTGCTCATTTAATAGTTCCTGAGGAAATTCTTGAGAAACTCAATTCAGTTTACAAAGACTATTTGTCTTCAGTTTTTGGCCTTACATTCTAACTTTAACAGTTTTTGGCATCATGTAGCTCATAATATGTTACTTTTGAAAAAAAGTTAATAGTAATGAACATGATAATTTGAAAGATTATTTACAAAATCATAATAATAATCATGCATGCATTATTAATTATGATGACAAAGTGAATTTTATAGTCCAGTGTTCCATTCCAGTAGTCCATTCCAGTAATCCATTCCAGTGAATGCAGACACCCGGTCTATCTCGCTGTCTAGACTTTCTCTATTATTGCAAGGGCCTATACCTCAACCTCTACACTTTGTACTGCGCCACTGATAAGCTTATGCTTAGTCAGCTAAAATGAGGATCAGTCAGGGGTGTCCGAGAGCCACTCCTTCTGAAGACTCGCTAGCTAGTCTATTGACAGCGATAGCTGAGTTGTCCGCTGAGACACACTTTTTGTCTTTAACTGAGATGAGAATGATCTTAAATGTATTTTTCCTTCTTTTGCTGAAATACATTGATTGTACTGGTAAGACCGTAGGAATAATAATGTATTTAGTTTTTGTGATTATAGATATAATGGTTCAGCTGCAGTGTCTATTAATACAACACTCAACTCTACTGTTGTCTTCTCTTGTGAAGCTGTGGCCGATGATCTTTCCTTCAGAGTTAATAATACACAAGCTACTAACATAGGTGTAATAGCTAAAGGATTCAGTGAGACAGTATTTAATAATGGTGGTACTAGAGAAGCAGAGCTACGAGCAGTAGCTTATGATTATAATAATAATACTAAACTTGAGTGTAGAGCTTTTACTGATGAGCCTTTTGATATAGTATTCAGTAATACAACAATATTAATGATACAAGGTTAGTGTGTGTGCGTGCGTGTGTGTGTGTGTGTGCATCATTGATTAGTGTCAAGGCATATAGGGGAATTTATTGACAAAGGTTTTATTTTGACGAGTTAACAATTTAAAATTAAATGTCAAATTTTATAATTGTCAAAATTGACATGCCACGTGTATGCAAAGGCACAAATTTCTTTTATTCGTCAAATTAAACTTGCCAACTGGAGAAATTAACTGTTTTTGTCAAATGTTTTACTCGTCAATAAATCCTACTATATGGTATTTCAATAGAGCTCTTGCACAGATGTAATTAATGAGAGGGATAGTCTTGTGGACCAGATCATTCCCCTCCTACAGTCATTGGGTTTAGGAATAGTCTGACCTGGGAGGGTGGAACTAAATTTTCTGACATGTTGAGTTGCAAGAATGTTCATGTTAAAAACTTGGAATGGGGACAAATGGTATGAATAAATTCTGCAGTTGACATTTCAGGCTAAAGAAAGGTAGGAGATAAAGGTATTAAGTGAAGGACTCTGTAATATTCTGCAGTGAAGCAT